GCAGATTTTAATACTATAATTAGGAGGTAAAATTTTCTTTTAAATTTGATTTGTATACTTTTTATTTTCTTTTCTTTGAATAAAGTCATAATGTATACCAATGCCTTCTTTTTTTAAGCTAGTATTTTTGGTAGGATATTGATCAAAAAAATAATTAAGGTTAGAGAATTCTCATTTTAGTTTTATTATGTTTATCTACTATTATATTACATTATTCTTAAAATTATTTCATAAATATATTTGTTGGGGGATTTGATAATTGTGTTGAATTTCATTTCATTGTTTTTTATATAATTTAATTAATAGTAAAAATTATAAACATAAAAATGGATTTTGCTGAATTCCATTTTTTTTATTTTTTCGCTAAGTATATTCGACAGCCACTTGCTGTCGAATATATTTTTGCTATGAAATCTTCACTAGCACTATTGTGATTGTTGTAGTTTCTTTTACTTTTGAGGGTTGTATCTCCTTTCAAAGTTCCTTCTTATCACAAGTATCTATTGGAAGGGAGTTCATGCTTAGTGATATGAATTTCCAATTCATGGTCATTGGAAGGCCAACTTTGATATGCAACTTGTTAGCTTGAAAGTTGTGCAAAAGTCCCTAGTGCATACCTTGCACACACATACCAATGGAAAAATCTTTACTAACCTTCTTTCAGCAATTTAGGACAGGATTGCTCCATCTCTTAATGAAATTTGTAATAGACTCAATCCTTTTTTTTTTTTTTTGCTTGGTGTTTGCAAGTTTGGGCAAACTAATAATATGCTTAATACTATATAAGTATGTCAAAAATTCATTACTAGAAAACAAAGTATAATCGACAGAATTTTTTGTTGTTTATATAAGGATTTTTGTCGATTGTAATATAATCGACAGATATAATTGACAACTATATCATTTGTAAAAAAAGTGGTCGAAAATGATTATAATCAACAACTAAAAATGTTGTCGAATATAATCCTATAATCGACAACCATTTGTTGTCGAATATACATATAATCGACAGCTGGTTGTTGATTATACTTGGTAAAAAATAAAAAACATTATCGTCAGACAACTTCTTGCCAATTAAGAGTATATAATTGACAGCCATTAGCAATTGATACTATTTTTGTTTTTTAACCAAGTATAATCGACAACCATTTGTTGTCGATTATATGTATATTCGACAGTAAACGGTTGTTGATTATGGGATTATATTCAACAACATTTTTAGTTGTCGATTATAGTCATTTTCTACCACTATTTCTATGACTGATATAGTTATTGATTATGTTTGTTGATTATGTTATAATTGACAGAAATCCTCATATAATTGATAGAAAATTTAGTTGATTATACTTTGTTTTCTAGTAGTGAATTTTTGACATACTTATATAGTATTAAGCATATTATTAGTTTGCATAAAATTGCGAACACCAAGCAAAAAAAAAAAAAAAAAGATTGAGTCTATAACAAATTTCATTGAGAGATGGAGCAATCTTGTCTTAAATTGTTGAAAGAAGGTTAGTAAAGATTTTTCCATTGGTATGTGTGTGCAAGGTATGCACTAGGGACTTTTTGCACAACTTTCAAGCTAACAAGTTATATATCAGACTTGGCCTTCCAATGCCCATGAATTGGAAATTCAGATCACTAAGCATGGAAACTCCCTTCCAATAGATACTTGCGATAAGAAGGAACTGTAAAAGTAGATACAACCCTCAAAAGTAAAAGAAACTATAGCAATCACAATAGTTCTAGTGAAGATTTCATAGTAAAAATGTTTTTTTTTTTTATAAAAAAACCTAAACAGAGTCTCAAGATCATTAAAGATCAAGGCAAAAAAAAAGTCCATATTGAAGGGGTTATAACAAAAGGAGTATCCATTTGTAGACTCTAAAATGCCTAGTCTTGTTGAGCAATTATTGGCACTAAATCTTCTTAAATTTTAGTTGTTAAGTGCTTAAAGAGAGTCGAATGGGTAAATGACCCAAAATATTGTAACTATCACTAATTTGTGAGTCATCTAGTTGGTAAATGTTTATTAAAGGATTTGATAGTCTGTCTTTGAAAAAAACGAAAAATCCAAGAAAGTGAATAGGGAACTACTACCACCAATGTTGCCATGGTTTCCTTTGACTATCTTAATTCAATTCTAATCTAACTAGTTTAATGACTTGACTAATAGTTTAACCTTAAGAGTTTGGTCTACACTTGCCCAATAGGACAATTCAAGTCATATTACAAATAGATGATAAGGTCATGATAGCTTAAGCTTATCATAATATAACTATCTCTAAAGGCTTGAACTCTCTTTCTTTATATGGCTATGACTTAATAACTATAAATCTTGAAGATTAAGAATCATCATCTAAGTTAGAAAATTGGATTAACAATGGTTGGTCAATTTTATTAGTAAGAGTGAAAATTACCTTAATCTTAGTTTTAAGTCGAATGTCACTCCTAGATCTTTACATGGTCATGTATGATAGTTACCTAGAAATAAAGTTAACTAGATTGTATTTTAACTTTAAGCCAAGATTGTTGGTATTGTTTTATACTAGTTTTACTATTAATTCAAAACAGTTTATGCTTTAATTTAGGTTTAGTTAAATTTCAACAATTTTAATCAATTTTTAGTGTATCAGTCAATATTCAACGTACTGCCTAATATAACAAAATTATACTGATACAAACCAATTTGAATTTTAAAAAAAAGAGTCCTATAAGAAAAATGATGTTTTTTTGGTTATTTGAGCATTTTAAGTCTAAAATAGGAACCCTCAATTCAACTTTTCTAGTTCTAGTTCTCTTTAGTGCATTTTAGAATTTCAGTCATTAGTTACTCTCTCTTTCCAACTCCACTTCTTCCACTTTCTAAAACAAAAATAATGGAGATATAGGTTGACTAAAGAATAATTAAAATCATATTTTGGTAAGTTTCCCTTTTTCAATTTCTAATATTTTGTATTTTCAAAATAGATGTAATAAGTAAATTTTTTTATTTCAATTTTAGTTCCTACACACGATTTCCTTTCACCTATGCATTTTGTTGATATCAAATTTAGTTTTCAAGCATTTGTTGATATTTCAATCTTTGATCTCTTTGATCTCTTACAAGTTTTTTTATTTCCCTATGTGTTTTCTTTTTTGAATTAGGTTTTGACCTTTTACAAATTCCCTCATCCAATGATCCAATCCCAAATAAGGTAAACTACAAAAAACCCATCACCTCCATTCTTCGAGTATACCACCAAATAATAAATATGTTATTTTCCTAGTTTTGGTGGATGTAGGTGGAAAGTGATATTTTTTTGGATAGATGTATCATGTTTGGTACTAAATTTTTCAGTTTTTTGTTCCTTAATATGCATTTTACTTTGAATATTTATATCTTTTGATATTTCTCTCGATACAATTTTGTGATTGCAAAAAGTTTTCATTTTTCATTTTATATGGTTATAGTTTAATGATTTACATGGCATGCCATATTATTTTCCATTTCCTTTTTATAATGTAATTCTTTTTATCTTAGTGATTGTCTTCGTAGGATATCATCATGAGTACCAGTGGTTTAGGTGCTGCAACTATAGGTGACTTTATTTTATTTGACCCTTTCCAAATGACCCTTACTTAGGCCCATTTGTTGGTTATCCAAAGTAAGAGGATTCAAACAAAATGCCTATACTGTGACAAGTTCTTACTAAGGGGTGGAATTACTTGACTAAAAGAGTACTTCACTAAGGTTAAAGGCAATGTTGGTGCTTGCAAAAAAGTTCCATAGATGTGAAGTGGCAAATGAAAAAATGATAAATAAGATAAGGAAAGGGAAACAAAAGAGGAGTAGGGGATGAGGTTGGAAGTTGATGTGGTTTACAAATGCTTGTTGATGAAAATGATGAAATTGAAGAGAGTCCTTAATTACATGCAGCACAACAAAACAAAAAATATTGATTTATATTTTGCACCAAGGACAACTCCTAGAGCTTAAAAAATCTATAAAAAAAATGTTTTGCAATTAAGAGAAAAACAAGAAACTATTAAGATGGATATTAGTAGGTAGTAGTTTGATGCTAATGTGCCTTTCTTCGCTACACATTATAGATACTATTTACTAAAGTCGGATGTTATCATATAGATGGGACTTTGCTTCGAGGGATCAACTTGCCATGATTTGAAGGGTCTTTTCTTGAAATGTACAATAAAAGAGATTAATGAATGGCTCTAATCCTTTAAATCAACATATAGTATTAATGGTTGCTCAATTATGGCTGATGGATGGACACGTCAAAGACAACAACCAACGATCAATTTCTTTATTTATTGCTATAAAAGAAGCATGTGTTTGAAGTCTATCGGCACTTTTGGTGTGACAAAGGATGTCAAAACATTAGAGAGGATGTTTGATAAAGTGGTGAAAGAATTAAGAGTGGAAAATTGTGTAGTTTGTAACAAATAATAATACCTTGTTCAAAGCTACTAGGAAAAAGATTGGAAGCAAAGTATAACTTATTCTTTTGGTCTCCTTATGTTGCTTATTGTATTGACTTAATGTTAAAGAATTTTTTTGATGCAAGATACTTTCTTGTAACTAATGCTATCATACAAAAGGCAAGAAAAGTCATGAAGTTCATATATAATTAGTCATAGGTGCTAGCATTGATGAGAAGGGATTACACTAATGGGAGAGATTTGCGTTGTCTTGTTGTTACTAGGTTTGCTACCCACTTTTTGAGCATCTAATGTATATTGAAATTCAAAAAAGAGCTTCCAAGTCTCTTGCCAGGTACAAACTCCACCACCTCATCTCCTCTAACCTCTATCTCCTCTACTCTCTTCTTCTTCTTTTGAGTCGGCTCCAAGTCTTCACTTCCCTTACGTTTAAGCTCTAGCCGTGGCTCATTTACCGTAGCTTGGGCTAAGGAACTAGAGAGCTGCTCCCTTTCTTTCTCTCAAGTTCTTCCCTTACTTGCAACATCTGAAATCTTTGACTTCTTCCTTGGTTTCTTAGGAATGGCCAATCCTCCAATTGCACACAAAAATCTCTCCATCTCGACTGCAAAAAAGAAAAAATGTTAAAAATATAAGTCAGAACCTAACATTAAATCATGCAAAGCAAAACACAAACACACCTTCACTCAACGAACTTGGTTCATAGAGCTTAGCAGCATCTATAACATCTAAGCTGGTGAGATACATAATATCCAAAATGTCACCTCCCTCCCTCACCAGCTTTTCAACCTCTTCCTCCTCATCACTATTTAAGCTATACTTATTCTGGTTGGCCTTTTTAGCCTTCCAGCTAGATAAAAATTCTACCTCTACATCCCTCCTTTCCCACTTCGTGTCATCAACAAAGAAAAACTTTTCCTTCCATCCTTTAATGGATGAAGGTCCTACACTAAATAAGTTCATTTTTTCTTTGTTAGATGACCGAGGTGTGAAATAATACCATCCTTTCTCTTTTCTACTCCCAGCCTTAATTACAAAGAAATGTTTAAACATATTTACAATGGGTACCCTAACACCCCTAACTCAGTAATATACCAAAAACCCAATTATTACCCTTACTGCGTTAGGCAATAATTGGGTTAACCACGTTAGGCAATAATTGGGTCAACCCTATACTATACTCTAGCAATAACCAAACTAGAAACTCTGGAATTAGAAACCTAAGCCTAGCTGTTAAGTAATGAGTATACATGGGCATCCAATGATCCCGAGGTGCAGAACATGCCTTTTCCTCTACCCCGATAGGCCTAAGTAACACTTGAGGAGGAAGGTCATAATTCTCAACTAAGTGAATGAGGCTATCCCTCGTACCTAACTCAGTCTTATACCCCTTCACTTTAGAAACAATGTCTACCTCTACATTATAACACCTATTGCCCTTACCCTCAATTTTCAAAATATTCAAGGGCATTCCTTCTTCTCCACCCTTAATAATCTCTTTCCCACTGACCTCATCCTCGGTTCTCTCCAACCCAGATGACCCACTCTCCATACCTTCACTACCATACTCCAAAGCCCTCACTTCCTCGCTTCCTTCAATACTTAATGTTTCCTTAGAAGACATTTCTTTAATTTCGTAACTTTCACTGCACAGAGTAAGGGGGAATGAAGTCAGGATCTTTAAAAAGTTCTAACTCACACTCAATATCACTCTCACTCCTCAACCTAACCTCCTTAAGAGGACTTAAATCTAAATCAGAAAGGGTGAGAGGAGAATCAAACTCTTCGCTAGAATCAAAACTACCAAAATTCATGCGTTACCTGATTTCGATCTTGAAGAATTAGTGCAGAAGTCACAAATAATCCAGAAGCCCAAGCATAAGCTCAAACAAAACTGTAGCAGCACTTCGGTAGCAAATACGGCAAAAGTAAAATATTTTTATAGAAATATATGGCTATATATACCAATGCAAAAATATGCTTCTACGGTCATGATTAATTCTATCCAACAATCATGATTACACCGATTTGAATTTGACAGTTCAATTTCGAATACGTCTATTCCACTGTTACAGTTTCTTTTTACAGCCGATATTTATTGCACATGTCTTTCAATAGACAGTTGTCATATTAAAACCATATCAGGCTTTTACATGGGCTCTATTAACCTTAGCTCAAATCCTTTTGTTTATACAAGTATTTTCAGCGTTACAAAACATAAATGTTTTCGATGTTACAAATATTTCGCTTAGGCTACGGCCTCAGTGACCACGAGTCACCAATTTTAATTCGGTTATGGCCGTGATGACTTCAAGTCACCATTTTTACTTCGGCTACAACCATAATGATTGCAGGTCAGCAATAACATTGCTCCATAACATGTTTCTCTCATTAATTGAGTCATTAACATTTTATCACACT